ACAGTGATATTTTATTGTTAACATTTTAGAAATCGAAAAACCTAAAAAAATTACTGTCTCCAATACATAATTCTGAAAAAAATTTTATTGTTGAAATATATCGAAACTATCAAATGTGTTTGTTGACTACAGTGTTTACAGAAATTTCTTAATAATTTATCTGAATCGATATTTAGCAGTTCTATACCAAATTATGTATGAGTAACTGTTAAATGATCTAGAAGTGAGAAAGACTGACAGAACTATAATTTATCAACGAGCCAATCACCATCGAGATAGCGATTCTTAGATTTTGGTGCTAAATCTACTGATCCATATAGTTGACTAGCATGCTGAAAATTCCCCTAACTCTAATTCCAAATCCTTAGATTCAACTATAAATCCTGTTGCTAATTCCTAGCACCAGTTTCTAAACATCTTTTAACTCTAGTAAGTAGGCAAGTATCCTCAAGGTCACTTTGACACAGCTCTTTGGTCATCAATAAATCATAATCTCACCTATAATTCTATAACTTTTTAACGAATATAACTTTTGAAAAATATATCTTATGGGAATATTACTCATTCTTTATATTGTGTGGATGTGACTATCAAATGTTTTGCTGAAATAAAGATTAGACTATAAAAGTGCCACTTCAAACTACCATTGAAATTATATTTCAAAATTTTAGCTGTTAAAAGTCCGTGAACTATAGAATGAAGTGTGTACGCTTTGATCTGTTTCTACTACAAATCATAAAATTTAAACACTTCAAAATATAGTCATGAGTAAGTATTTAATATATTTTTTCGGCATAAATGCTGATAGTATGAATAAATGATGCAGAAATGACTAAGAAACAAATTCAAAAAAATAGAAACAGTTACATAGTAAAAAATTATGAACAATTTTTTTAGAACGATTAGCTAGGTAAATATTTTCATAGTCTTAATGAAGAACTGATCTTAGATCGACAACCGCTGGCAGCCTGGTAGCACTGGATGCCTATTTCGTCCTATTTTGGGACTACTTGGCAGAGCCCGCAAGCGGCAATCAAACCCGTGAACGTCGGTGTCGCAAGTAAACACTTAACCTCTCGACTACAAAGTCGGCATTTATGGATGTCAATTTACGATTATGCACAACCCTTCATCAGTTGACTGTGGCGGATAACTATTTCGCATTCGACACAGACTGAACTCCAATGGTTACCACTCCTCATCAGAACTCTAAAAGTACACCCGGAAGCTAGTCCTTAGTGCGAACATAATTGTTTATCGATACAAACTATTCGCAAATCAATTTTCACCTGGTAGATTTTAGAAAAATATTAACAGTACGATGTAAGAGATTTGCGGTTTAGAAAGATGAATAAGATGAAGATCTTTTTTCTCGGAATCTCATCAGATTAAGAATAAAGGCTGTCAAAAAATCTGTAGAGGATAAATATCAACTACAATTCTTTAGATTCATGGTCTACAGAAAAAGCTAAGAAAAATATTTGAAGAAGCTTAATAGTTTAAAAGCTCGTATTGATGATGTTCTCCAAAAATCAATGAGAAGTTTATGACTAAATCATATAGTTTAGAGAATACAACTCCATAATAATTGTTGTCTATTTTCTAAACACTAATAATACTTTCCAATTAAAATTGATTTTATTGCAAAAAAATTAAATAAAGTTTTTCTAAACTTCAACTAGTGATATCTGCATATGATATTACTCACTCATCAAATGGTTATATATTAGTGCAGTTGTTTAGATGAAGTAAAACACAATGATATATCACCTAATTCGAGATCAATCACTATGCATCACTATTTATTTTGATATTTCAGTCCAAGTAGGAACATAAGCGTTGGGATTCAGGGCCATTCAGCTGAAATTCTAAAATAGGAAGTTTCAGTTACTAGGGCCAATCGAAACTATGGTTGAAAATTTTGGTTTATATTTGATAAAATGTTTTGTACGCTCCCCCGTCCAAAGAATACTGGTTGTTTATTCAGTTTTCTGTGAGACGTTTGTAGAGATTATTGGAATTTGTAGAATACTGTGAGGATTGACCGCAGTTAAAAAATCATTAAAAACCAGAAAGATTAGATAGCTGCTTACTCCTAACAGGCAATTCCTCACCTGTGTACATACATGATCTTAGTAGTGATCAATTACAGAATTTTCATGTCTCGCAGTGTATACTCGACATCCAAACAAATATATTGGCATCAACTGATTCACATTTCTAACCTTGGTTGCAATAATTCCAAGTTATCATACAACTGCTTCAATGTCAACATGACTGAATTCCATTAGTCACGGTTTCTCAACTAGAACATTTGAAAGCACTTAAAAGTAGTCACTACTTAATACATGATCACTAATACATCTATTTTGTTTGTTCATCTACGGTAATTTTCTCTTTCTACTTTGTTTCTTTTCATATGAATCCTTCTTTTCTGTGAAAATCGATTCAGTACAAATAATACACTTTTCTTTGTTACCGAAAAAAGAAGAACAAGTACTCAGTGATTATTCTAATTAACGGAAATTTAATTTAATTAGATTTTTTTAAATATAAACAATTTAAATAGAATTTGTTTGTATGTGAATAAAACAATTGTTGGTTCATATTCAAAAAATCTGTATATTCTTTTTATTTAATTTTGTTTATTGAACTAAACTCATTCAAATGAATTTAAGTGACCGTCAAAATATTGAGAACAGCGAAAAGAAGGATTAATTTGAAGTAATTTGAAAAAGCTGATGGCTATTATGATAGAATAATAAACTGGATGACAATGAAAGCTTCCAAGTTCAATGATTTGATTTATCTATATTTCAAATATAAATAAAACATATAAATATGAAATGTAAATACAATGAAACACTTAAATGTTTCAGTTTGATAGTGTTTTTTAGAAAACAAATCAATAGCTCTGAAATGTTTTTAGCATTCATGATGTTTAATATTGATTCGCACACAGCAGAGTCAGTGATAATTAAAATAAAAAGGTTACTATGAGATTTTATACAATAAAATATTAGTCGCCTTCTTGTGTGTTTTCAGCATTTATATTATCGAGAAAGGCAAATATCCTTGCATTAGTAACAGTTGTGTTAGTAGAAGTGCTGATGAGTTTACAAATCACTGTGTTTTAGAAACTTCCAAAAAAGTAAAATGCAAAATGTACATTATGGTTGTTATAGTCCTAAAGGTGTCATCCTCTCCGATTAACTCTATTTTACTTCAGCTTGACTAGAAGCACATTAGCACAGATCATATGTTGTGCTATAAAGTAGTTCAAAACAATCTACTAGTCATAGACGCAGAAACTCCAACAAGGTATCTGTGTTTGAAATTTGTATTTTGTAAAGTTCGTTTTAAAAAAACTAGTGATGAAAGCTCTAAAATCAAACTACTGCAGTCATAGAATACAATTAAATCAAAATCTTTTCGATTTATTGACTAGTCATTATTTCATTGAAACTCATTTGTAGGTTGAAACAATTTACAATTCCATTGTTTAATTATGTATAACTAAATTTTTTAAGTTGCATCAATCAGTTTGAAAATTTCAAAATTTAGTATAGTTTTTAATACGCTGTATATAATTCAATGTTTACCACATATAAATACACAAAGAAATTCTAATGACATTTTACCCAAGCAAGCATGAATGTTTCATTGAAATAATGAATTGGTCATTGCTAGACCACCAACAGAAACCTGGAAGCACTGGATAGCTGTTTCGCCCTAGTAAGGGGAAAACTTGGGACTTGTTTTGTGAGGAAATTCTGGGAGTTCTAGTGAGAAGACGTGAACATTGCAGTTAAACTCTGCAGGTTCTAGTCTTAACTACCTAAGATAATGATTGTGGTTGAGGGGTTCCTGGATGCTCACTGTTGATAAGTTCCATAACTCGATAATGAAAAAGCATACATCTATTCAACTAGTGAACATTTCTATTCCTTTAGTATCCTGATATGTAACAAGTCAAATCATTTAGTTTTTATAAATGTAGGATTTAATCACTTCATTCAGTTGGTTAGATAATGTGACCTAAATGATTATCTAAATGTTTTAACATTATATTTGATTCTTACTCATCTTGTTGTAAATTCATAGCTTATTTCACTTCTACATTGAATTTAATTACTAGAAATTAGTGATATTTTCCAATCATTTTAAGAGTTCAGTTGAAATCAGTATATGATACCAAGATGAACGTTTCGTTTCCTTACCAACTCATCCTACAAAAAAATAACAATATATTGTTTGAATTGATAACTATGTTGTGAATCTCCAATGTTTAAGACCCTTCTACTTCCCAAACATCTGTGATTTACAATGGTACTACAAGTATGATCATTTAAAAAATTAAACCACTCCCTCTCCACCATCACAAGACATTCATTTCAGTAGTAAAATATACACTAAGATAATACCAATTCATTTTTACTGTATTGCGAAGAGAAAAACTTTAAAGCCTTTCCCATAGTATAATATTTTCATAGTTTAATTGATATAATGTTTACTTATTTTTCATTATCCTAATTAAATAGAAAAAATATTTCTCATAATATAGAAAGCCATATTTCTAGTAATTGAAATTTTTTAGTATTTAAATATGCTTTCATGGAACTTTGTTCATTCATATCGATCTCAAATAATGAAGATTTATAACAGGCTGTTTATTGATTATTTGTTGGGTACATAAAACACAAAAGGATTCGGTAATTAATCTTAGACTATACTATAAACAGCTTCTAAAAAGTTTATAATTAATGGATAATAATATATATTATATATATTGTTTCCTGATTGCCTATGAAAATCTATGTTGTGTATTTCCGACAGTCAACTGTCCAACAAAAGATGATATATGATTCTACTGAACAGTAGTAAGATTTAGAAAGTATTGAAGCATTTATCATTGAACATTTTTAAAAATGGCATGATATTAAATTACCAATTCATATTTATTGATTTATAATTTGTCATTTTTTTTACTGAATTAATAGATTCGAGAAATTAAACCGCTCAAGATCCTACATTTTGAAAAACGTTTCACTATCTCTAGTTATGAGTTCGATGGGACAGCAGGTAAAAGTTTAAAAAAGACTCCAATACCAAAAGAAATGGTTACTGAGGTGAGAAACACGATTTTTTATCAACATATATATATATATATATATATATATATATATATATATATACTCTTTAGAATGTACTTTTGTACTGTAGTGTTTACATTTTCAGAGTTAAGTGCTCCAAAAAATGTGAGAAAAGTAGTCCACTTTAACAAAACTTCATAGTTAACACTTCAGTTAACCAACTATTAAAGACTAAGGGGAAATGGGCTGCTGGTTCCTTCTAATATGAAACTCGTCACTAGGGCGCATCCACAATCCTACTACCCACCAGTGGAACCAGGAACTTCAGATCTCTCGGCAAACGCTCAACCTTTAGACCATTATACGGGCATTTGATAGAGAACAGATTTAGTTTAATCGATTTGCGAGATTATGTTAGTATCTAACAATGCTAGAGATAGGTAACCGCTTCACAATCAGGATGATTTCAGTTTATCACCAGAAGGTTAGGCATTATCTGCTCAACATTGGTCACTAATCTGTGTATGATTATCAGAAAGCATTAGATTCAGTCATCTTAACAAATCTCCTATATAACTATAAAACTTAATTATTTTTAGTATTTATAATCACTAGAAGATTAAAACTAGTATTTTTTTCTATATTGTGATGTAAATTATCTTAATTAGTTAAAAATTGACATGTTGAACATCATAATATCAGTGAAATTGTTTATAACAGAATAAACTTTCTAAATGAAATGTACTACTCGTGATTTATTTCGTACATTCAGTATCAATTATATCATTCATTACAAACCATGAATACTTAACAGGTATCGTCTAAACAGTAATAAAGTGAAGCATTTGTTATTTAAAGTTATTGAGGTAAAATGATTTAACGGAATTTTTTTTCATATTTCCATTAACACCGATAGATTATTTACCAATAAAGTGTTTTCAAAACTAACTATTTTAGTAATTGTTAGATATGTAAACTCGTTGACTCGGTGGATAGTATGTTAGCAGTTGAAACGATAGGTATCAATGTGGATTATCAATACTAAAACGTATGTATATCCTATTGACAAGTATTGAATAGGACGGCACAGACGTCCAAACATTGCATTTCTGGACACAAATTATTTATTCTACAAAATTTATAACAAAAGGGCAACATGAAAACAATCCATACAAGATTCATGTATGCTAACTGAGACTGATTGAATTTCACTCGTGTAGTATCAGTAGTGTTATATTTGATATCTTTATTAATAATTACATGAATATTTGATTGCGTTATTTTAGAAAACAATGATTCAATACAAAAAATGTTTCAAAAAGTTATTTAAACAATAAAACCATCGTGATTGAAGTGCTAAAAATGAATGTCCACGATTATTCTTAGATTATCAGCCGATGATAATTTAAAACCCGATTGTAAAAAGATAAATCATATTATTCCTGTTACGCTCGTCTCTGGGTATGCTTAAAACTATTACGGGTTCACCTTAGTCGACTAGTGAGAAAACAATGAACCACCGTCCAGGTAGGCTACTGTGATCCCTTCACCAAATTGTACCAGCAAGAAGTCTTGATATAGCGTAGAAAGTGTATTCTACTAACACACAGCCACCACACAATGAATCCAAGCACTCAAATTGCGTTTATTTATACTCTATAGAGACGTCCCTGGGACAGTCACAAAAATAGCACACTAAAATGACACAGTAGCCAATCACAGCCAAGGATTTTCCTGGTGTGAATGTGATTTCAAGGTTAACTGATCAGCCCATGAAATAAATCCACAGTAAAGATATTTATCAAGCGAGTTCTAGGGCTCTAACATCCCCAACAATTCCATCGACAGATTCTTCATTTCAGTCAAACTAAATTAGCATAGACTACAATCAACAGTTCAGCATAGAAATAAACCTGACATGCGTATTAGATAACAACTTGCATAGTAGTCGGATTACAAATATGAAAGAGGTTTTGTGAAGGCTTAGGTCAATTTCATGAATGTTGAAGAAGTTTATGATGAAAAACCAATCTTTTTTCACACATTACCGAAATTATTTCTTCCTATGATTATTAAAAAGTGAACAGGATCGTTGTTTTAAGTTTTGCCGACTCATAAGCTTGAGTTCCGAGGATGGTCATATGCAACATTTCTGTGAATATTTTCCGTTGTATTAGCTAAATATGTTCTAAAAATCTTACCATCTCGGAAAAATGGTGGGAGAAATAAAATAATGTGTTTACCTTTAGGGCCAATCTTATTTCCTCTATGAGTTGGTCTTATCGTCGGAAATTCTGTACAGTAACTCCAGCCAATATGAATTTGCACCAAATCCCACTGACTGGTTAATTGCAGAATGAATGAATCTTCTAAATAATTATGATTCAATTAATTATAGGAAAAAGTTTATTTTCAAAAATCTACATAGAATTTACCATTGGTTTAAATAAACAAAAGCAATAGTTGACTATTTTTATACACACATGCACATACTATTCACAAACAACAATGATAACTAATCAATAAAGATTTATCATCAGAATTTATGTGTTGACGATTATGTAAGCAAAATTGATATAACTGCTAAGTGAATGATTTAGTTTGTTTAATTGTTAATAATAGTTGTTAAATAGGATTGTGAGTATCATAAAAACTAAATGTAGACATGAATTTATTGAACTAAACGCACAAAATATCCGTTCCAATTTGTCTTATTTCCTTCATGATTTATGATTGTGTTTCACGCCTTTTTTTTTCTTCAGAAAGCACAAAGTTAATTTTGGTGTTGTTAAGATCTTTTCTCAGATACTGATACTAATTTAGCTCAAAATTGTATAAGTTGTCAGAATTTTAGTAAACAAACATTTGAACAATGTGGAATAGAATAGATTTTGAAGAAATTCTTTCTAGCAAGATAAATTCAACAATTAAAAAATAAACAAGGATACAGTAATAACAGAACCAACAATGAATATCGAATACACTTCATTCATAATTACGATTACTCCGTTACTTAAAGCACAGACTGTTCTAGGAACGCAAATGCAAGGTTATGGGTCCGATCGATTGATAAGATTGGTCGATTAATTAAACAATCTCAAAAAAACTACCCATGGTACTTCAAATAAATGGCAAAATGCTATTATTTCAGAGGGAGTACTGGTCAGAAAGTTGAGTGACTATTTACTCTAGTGATAATTTCGATATGTACATAGTTTTTAAAATCATAGTCGATAGAAAATAGCTAAAATACCGGTGACAGTTATCAAAATCTAAATGAGTGTTTCAGTGCGAAAACGGGTATCAGTCATCACAGATTGAGGTCATTAATTGCTTTAATTCGATTATTAATCAGCGTAAAATGATGAGAACAGTTCTTGAAAAAAAAATTTAGAATTTTGTGAATTTCAGTGTTGAGCAAATAGATAAAATCAATAAATATTTAACAATGAAAACCTTGAAATCAGATATGAAAAAGTGTAATATTTAAGAACATCTGTTAATATAGATTTATTGATGATGTTCTTCATGACTCCTGTACTCGAGAATCGAACCCATCATGCTAGTAGACCCCTGTGATTAGTTTTAATGTACAAGAATAAAAGCAAGATAGAAATCAATTCAAGCTGTCGAATTTCATGATTGCATTAAAAGATGATAACTAACATAAAGTTTAAATGGGATTTTGTACTATCCTCATTAACCTATCTTATAAGACTACTACTATCCGTCCGACCAAACAATCAATATACATACTAATCACATAATTCAATGTAGGCTATCTTCTATGTATACAGAATACATGACAGTAAATGTGTAGTAAATTTATTTTTCAAAAAGTCGGTATATATGTTTTATTTAGTACTTTCTGACAGTTTACTGGATATATACTGCCGTAGTAAAATAATTGTCATGGAAGATTTTATTTCAAGCTTCAATTTTTGATGACCTACAACATCTTGTCCGACTAGGACATAAGTAGTAAGCTTTAAACACAGTGAGAATTACACTACTACATGACACATTGATCTATCAGAATAAACAGCAGAGAGTGCTGCACTATTGTTGAACACTAAAAACTGATGATTACCATCACATAATGCCAAGTATAAAATTTTTACTTACATTATATATTTATGTAATCTAACAATAACATTTCAACTATTTAAAGCTGTAAGATATAAATAAAACAGTTGAACAACAGTGACTATTGATTTAACTTAAACGATTTAAAATCAAATCGAAGCTAAACTTATACCTTGCTAATAGGTAGATTTTTTTATAGCTTCCGAAGTTACCGTGATCATTTTTTGATTAACCCTGAGAAATTTGTAGATATTATCATCATACAACAGTTTTGGTTCTTCTCAAACTTTGCGGAAATTGTTACATAGAAACAGAAGGAGTAATTTAGATATCAAACGATTTAAATCACAAAAATGTTTTGTTTTGTACAAAACTGATTTATTCGAATTACGTTTATTGCCAAGTGTGTTTTGTCAACTAAGCTATACGTAGTTCATATATACTGGTTGTCATGTTTTAATATGGCAACTGTCAGTCATTTTCGATATTGACAGAATTTCCTTCATCCGACCATGAGCAGCACCTATATGGATAATTTTCCCTAAATAATTTATACTACCTTAATACGTTTATAAGTAAATAGAAAATATGTGCTTTTTTTTACAAATACTAACAACACTAATGAGATTTGTGCAGACTATATTATTTTCATTGTTAAAATCACGAGCTGATTATAGCTAAACCACTGTTACAAACCTGTGAGCACCAAAGCACTGGAACTCACCAGAAGTACTACTGAGTAAGGATTTTTCTTTGAAAAATTAAAAAAAGAATATTTGAGCGAACAATTATTTTATATTATTCCATTGTCAGTCTTTACAATGATGAGTCAGTAATTATTGTATTATTTTACAAAGGCCAATGTAAGGCATGCATTAATCAATTATACTAAGTTATCTGTTAAAGGTCATACAATTCTGAATTTGTAGCAGAAGGAATACTTCAAGATTGCGTTACTTGTAGATTAGAAAGATTATTTAATAAAGATCAGAAGGATTCGTTTTAAGGTGTCAAGTTATAAGTAATATAATAGTAATATAATAATCTGTCTGAATAAATACATATTAAGAGAATTAATGTTATTATTATCATTATTATCTGTATTAAAAACAAAAAACTAGCGATAATTTTCAGTTCAAATATTCTTTGGGGATTTTTAAACTACAAAGAAATTAAGTGTTAGCTTCATGTTGGTGTTAAAATGAAAAATGTCCTTTTTCCGAATAAAATAAATTAGATGTAAGTATTTGCTAGATTCCGAATTTTCAAAACAAAATAAACTCATATTCAACTACTTTTTAATTATTTACAACTACTTCCTACCGGTGTCTGGCACAACATTTGAATAGTGAATTCTTTCGAAAACATCACAAAACAACACCATATTCTCTCTTATCTTCTTTGTTGATTGAGTACTCTGTTACTTATGTATGAATTTGGACAGACTGTTGAACTGGACATGTAAAAACAATTTTGAAATGTTTTAACAGCTAATTCGTCTGCAACATTATTGCATGTCAAGCAATTATGTAGAATTTTCTCAGTTCTAAAGAAACTGAAAAGTTTTCAGAAGTGTGATTTCCAACTTTATTAATCATTAATTGATACCGACCATTGAATAATCATTTTTGGAGACTAAAATTCCCTTATCTGGTTGCTTTCCCGAAACAAAATAGTTCTTAATTTGTGCGAAACCTCATTTCACATCTTTTCAGTTCTATATAAGATGAACATATCATATGTAATCGCTTTCTTGGAATCTACTGAATTTCTGTCTACGAAATGGAATAATTCATTGCGCCCATATGCTTTTCCAGGAAATACTGTATTATGACAGATAGTATGTTTAGATGAAGAAGAATTATTAATGCATCAAACAAAAATCCATTATAGAATGCTTTCTTTTTTTTCATGCATCACGTGCAAAACATACAACTATTTACTCCGCCTACTGTTGTTGTCATACGATTTTTGGAACAGACTGATGCTGAATACAATCGACACTATATCGAATATGCTAACAGGATCAGAAGTGCTGTAAACGTAAATGACCCAGCAGCACAGTATGTATGGCAGTACGTAAGTTGATTGAAGTAATATTAATAAAATCATTAACTTATTTCGGAACAAATGACATTATAATGTTTGTGAAAAAGTATTTTAAAAATATGTAGTTTAAATGTTTTACTAAATAAATTCAGATAGTGAAGAAAATTTGTAGCTCATGTGGATAATTATTGTGGAATTTTGTTTTCTCAGCTGGATGGTTTAGTTGTGAAGCTTTTAGTGTTCGTTTGAACAATATCATTAGCACAAAGTATTTGAATTTCTCCACAAATGATTCGTAGCTTGTTCTGCTGAACTAGATCTTGTTTGTTATTGTTAGCGATTGTAACCTCCTTTAATCTGATTCTTGTTCCTATATTTGTCTATGGTTTTCCCGATTCTTTGAAAAATTAGATCGACTTCAGTTTGTTTGTGTGTATTGATTGCCGATTGACCTGAGCGACAAGTTACTCGAAATTCGTCGAGGTTCTTAGTAGGCCCTCTATCCAAGTTTTTAACGTTTTCAAGTCGAATGTATATCCTCACTTCTCCGCATGTATTGATATAAGGGGAGATATTTCATAGTGTTTGACAGCAATTTTCATTTAGGCAAAGCTGAAGAGAATCTCCACTTGATCAATGTAGTGTTTTTCTCAGTCTGAACAGTATATTCGGTTGCTTATGGTTGGTTTTTCTGAATTTGAAATTTTGTCCCCTGGTTTACAAGGAACTGATTCAAGTGTTTTTGTTGGCTTGTTCTACACCCATCGCGAACGGCTTCCATTATCTTGTTGCGATTGCCGATATTGAACATAAACCAACGAAACCAATCCAATCAATAAGTATCAGTAGGTACAAAAGCGGGGCTTAAGGCATTTTGCTGGTCACCTTCCATTAAAACATCTCATAAAGTCCACATTAATATTGAGTTTATCGTAAAAATTATCACTTCTCGGTCATAATCAGAAACCTTTAATTGTTACGAGGAAAAAGTTCTCAAAAATAGGATTTCTAAATCTTCTAAAATACTTTAGTTATCTGCAGTTGTATATATAGTTTTTTATTTTTCTAAATTACAGCTCAATGATGGTAGTAGTGTCAGTCCTTTGATTGGACTTGACATTAATTTATATCCAATATTCTTGGAGAATATCACTGGCAGAAGAACAAATGTCGTTATATTAGATGATGGATTGGATACAAGTCATGAAGATTTACGGGATAACTTTGATGAGACGATATCCGTTAATTTGGATAGACCAGAAACAAATGGATACAGTCCACGTGGACCACGTAAAATTATTCCTGAAAATGATGGGTAGGTAGGTATGTTTTCATTTTCTGATTCAAATATTTCTAAAAAAAAGTGAAATAATTCTTACTAGTTTAGTGGAGGACTTCAGGACAAACTAGGTAAATATACTGATCAATGAGTATTGACCAAGTATTCCATTTTATATTATGCATTTTTAATTATGCCTAATGGAAATCAGATGCAGGTAAAAACTTTTAGTTCTGTTTGCAATGATCTTACTATAACTCAGCCACTGGGTTAGAATTCAAAATGCTTTACCTTCTAATAGACTATTATTCTTCATTTCACTAACTGTTGAAAAATCTATGCCGGTTTTCGAATTTGTCATGGTCATCTGTACAGTACTTCCTCAAATGACCAATTTCCACTGAGCGATTAGAACATAATTTATTAAATAATATTTCAAAACACTTGGACTTTTCTGTGATTTCCAAATTTTAGTAAAAAAACAAGGTTGACATGAGAAATAGTGTGTCTGTAGAAAACGCTTCTAATAATTTGATGCTTTAACATGTGAATGTGAGACCAGATTGCTTGAAATATATAATAACCCTTTGGAAAACAGTTTTTGTGTGTATAAACTTGTTTTCATACGGTTAACGTCATTTCAAGTATTGACGTATCACATAATATATGCTATTCCTATCAATTCGGATAATATGTTCATATGAAATAAACAAAAGTACTTATTGGAATACAAAAAAGAGTAAAGTATGCTGTGATTGGTCTGTAAGATGATCTATTCAACTTCTTGATCTGTTTATTTCATCTACTTCTAATGCTATTTTTACTTAACGCCTGCTGACGAATACTTTACATGGTGGTAGAATCAACCGATATTGCTATCAATGATAAACATTCGGTTTAAAAACAGCTTTGATACGGTTTATTGAAAGACATACCTTTATCTCAAAAGCCTAGAAAACTGTATAGTACATCGCTGAGATCCGGTCTAGCGGTATACAAGTCAACCATTCGCGCGCGACATTGAGGATCCTGAGTTCAATTCTTGATTTTACGATCATAGACGTTCATTTCGAGCAGTGTCATATCCAAATGAAACAGATTTAAAGCATTTCTAGGCTTTCACTGGTTGTCCAACTTAAATCTGTTCAAGATCTCAATAAAAGATACTTTATTTGAGTACCACTATGATAAGCTCGTCACTTAGTATGCTTGAGGCTATTACGAGTTTACCTTAGTCGATAAACGCGAACGAGACTTTTACGAGCTTCCAGGGAGGCTACCTTGAATACCCAAAATCGGAATAGAAGGCTTTGTAAGCGTAGAAAGTATATTCTGCAAACACCCAGCAATCACAGTACAATCAAGCATACGACTCTCGTTTATTTATACAACATAAGAACGTCCTTGAGACAGTTAAGAAAATAGCATACTAAAATACACTGCAGCCAATCACAGCCATTGATTTTGCTGATGGGAATTGAAATCTCAAGGTCATCTGATCAGCCCATGCTGGCGAAACGTGAAAACCAAAATACGGCATTATCAAGCGAATTTTGGGGATCTAACATCCCCAACACTCCTCCCCTTTTTAATAGCGCGTTCTCCTGGGGTCGACTTGCATCTTGACTATTGTTCGCCGCTGTCTGAGGGGATACCTTCGGGAACGAAGAACAGCTTGCTGCTGAGTTTCTTCTCGTGGTGGGGCTCTCGGTAGGTTGAAGGTATCAAGCAAGATGTCAAGGGGAAGGCTTTCTGCTCTTGATGGGCGATCTGGGGCTAGCCGTCTGCGTATCTGATTGCGATGACGTGACCATTTATCACCTCCTACCTCTACTTCGTACATAACTCGACCAACCCTTCTGACCACTCTCGCTTCTACCCAAGGACCATGGTTCGTTCTGTAGTCGCGGGCAAACACAGGGCATCCCACCTCGTAAGCGGATTGTCTTTGCTGCTTTGTCTCTACTGATGAGGGTGCATTGGTCGGATGCATCAGGCTGTGGATCGTTTTCAATCTTCTTCCCATCAGGATTTCAGCTGGGGACTTTTGCTCCGGTAACAATTCATTTGGTGTTGTCCGATAGACGTACAAGAAATTTTGTAACGCTTCGGCTGGCGTCCCCTCCCCTTTTGACTTAAGCAGTGCTCTTTTAAACGTATCCACAAACCTTTCCGCCTGCCCATTCGATTGCGGGTGGTATGGTGGCGAGCGTAAGTGTTTAATAGCTAGCCGTTGACAGAAATTCTGGAATTGGGAAGAGGTGAATTGAGAGCCATTGTCGGATACGATCACATCTGGTATGCCGTTTCTTGAGAAAATTTCAGAAAGGAGCTGTATAGTCTTAGTTGTAGTGGGCGGCATAACGGGGCTGATTTCCGGCCATTTAGAAAAGGCGTCGACGACAATTAAATACATAGTTCCCTTTATTGGGCCAGCGAAGTCGACATGTATCCTGGACCAAGGATGCTCAGGTTTGGGCCATGAAACCGGCGGAATTTTGGCATTCATCTTTGCCGCCTGCTGACACCGCATGCATTTTTCAACCAACGCTGTGACATGTTGATCCATGTGAGGCCAGTATGCATAACTCCTGGCTATGGACTTCATTCGTTTAATCCCAGGATGACCAAGATGGAACTGTCTCAGCACTTTTGCACGAAGGGATTCTGGCACCACTACTCTTTCACCAAACATCAGACAATCGTTCACGATGCATAGTGACTCCCGCCGCTGATACAGTTGCTTCATGTCACCTTCAAACTTTTTCGACGGCCAACCGTTAGTGACATATTTCATCGTCATCTTGATGATGGGGTCGTTTCTAGAAGCATTTTGTATGTCTGTTGCAGACACCGGTAATGCGCGAACTGCGGTTGTCAGATAACATTCTGCGTGGTCTTCTACTGACAGAGATGCGATCACCATGTTTTCCTCAGCCGCCACTTGATCATTAATGAGTCGTGACAAAGCGTCTGCTTGACCGAATTGTAGAGTACGTCGATATTGGATTTCGAAATCATACCCCAAAAGTACCAAGGCCCATCGCTGAAGACGATTTGCAGAATGGGCTGGAATGCCAGACTTTGAACCAAATATTGCTAACAGAGGCTTGGGATCTGTGAGGAGCGTGAATCTCCGACCGTACAGAAACTTATGGAAACGGCGAACAGCAAACACAAGGGCAAGAGCTTCTTTCTCTATCTGGCTATACTTCTTTTCTGCTGGGGTCAGTGTACGGGATGCATGCATAACGGCTTTTTCTGACGCGTCTGGAAACTGATGTGAAATAACAGCACCTAGGCCGTATGCTGAAGCGTCTGCTGCTACGATGATCGGCATGGATGGATCGTAGTGTGTTAGTAACAATTCCGAGCTAATTATAGACTTGAGTTTGTCAAAAGCCGCGTCACACTCTTTAGTCCAGTTCCATGTGCTATGCTTCTGCAGTAGACAATTCAATGGAGCGCGAATATCATGCATCGAGGGAACAAAAGCTGAATAATAACTGATTAAACCGAGAAAAGATCGTAATTCGGAAACATTAGTGGGAGTGGGCATCAGTTTGATAGCTCGGATGTTTTCAGGATCTGGTCTGCGACCGTCGGCATCAAAGATGAATCCCAAATACTTTACCGACTGCAATAGAAACTGACATTTTTCTGGGCGTAACCGGAAACCATTGTCACTGATGCGCTGTAGTACCAATGTCGTGCGTTCCCGTAGCTGTTCTAACGTCTTCGCAACAATCAAGATATCATCGAGATAAGCTGCAACCCCTGAGATATCTGACAGGATAGTATCCATTAGTTGTTGGAAGATAGATGGGGCAGTCTTAACTCCAAAAGGTAGACGGTTATACTGGAACAAACCACGATGAGTGTTGATAGTAAGCAGCTCTTTAGATGCTTCATCGACTTCCACTTGCAAATAAGCATCAGCTAGGTCAAGCTTTGCGAAGAACTTTCCTTCATTCAGCATAGTGAACAGATCTGCTGGGACTGGCAGAGGATAATGATGCTGTTCTAGAGCTGCGTTGAGACCTGTAGAGAAGTCAGCACATATACGTATCGTGCCGTTGGCCTTCTTGATAACGACTATAGGTGCTGCCCAACTGGAGTAAGAAACGGGAGTAATAACTCCTTGTCGTTGAAGGCGATCCAGCTCTTCATCTACTGTTGCTAATGTAGCATACGGTACAGGTCTCTTTGGACGAAAAGCAGGCTTAGCCCCATGTTTCAACCGAAGTGTTGCTTTCATAGCAGTGCACCGACCTAATCCAGGTTCAAAAATGGTTGAAAACTCTGTCATCAGCTTCTTCGTATACGCTTCTGGGTCATGTCGTTGTGATACCAGGTTGCATATGGTATTTAGCGGGACATCAGCCAATTTTAGCTGGTCGAACCAATCTAAACCAAGTAAATTTAGATCAGCTGGCGTTATATAGCATACCCCAGTAAACGACGAATCTCGGAAAGCAACTTTACATTCCAATTGTCCTAACAGACGAAGATAATTACCACATGCTGTACGAGGCTTTTGTGTTGTGTGCTGCAGGCTTGGGCTACCCAGTATGGTCCAGTTTTTGCGTGAGAGGATAGTGACATCAGATGCAGTATCTATTTGCAATCTACACAAATGCCCGTTAATATTAAGAGTAATAAATTTCCTCTCACCTGGTGATGAGCTTTGGCAGGAAGATATCAGGCTCAATGCATTGGTACTGGATCTAGGAACAGGCTTCTTAGCACTTCTGGATCGCTTTGGCTTTTTCTGTAGGCAAAAGCCATCTTTATGACCGATGACTTTACACTTCCTGCATCTATGCTGCCTAAATGGGCAGTTCCGTACATAGTGCCATGAACCGCAGTGCCAGCAAGCAGAAGGTGGATTCATTTTGGATTTTTGGGCCGAATTGGAGCGGGGTGAACTGGGTGTAGCACGGGCAGACTTATAATGATTAGGTGGCTGCTGTACCAAATGAATTTCAGATCGGCTTGAACTACCACTCTGAACTATAGTTGAGTCTCGTTGTAGGTTAGTGAGACGTTGGTACTCATGAGCCATATCATTAAGCGTAAGCTTTGGATCTTGCTCCAACCGACTTAGTAGCCTTGTTCTAATGTCACTAAACTTACTCGACTGGAGGCTGCAGATGAGTATAAGGGCTTTGAACTGGTCTTCCGACAAAGACTTCAACCGAAAACGTTCGCATTCACGGTTGACGATGCCCACGTGCGTAAGAAAATCATCATCTTCGTTCATAATTAGCTTCAAACATCGATAACGAGTATTAAATAGTGACGAGTTGTCTCCAAAGTGTTGGCTTAAAGTCTGGACAGTCTCAGAAAACGAACAATCTCGTGGGTTCAAAGGCAGGATCAAATTACAGTACTTATCCAGCTCACTTGCGCCCAACTTTCGAAGTAGCAGCCGAACCTTCCAAGCATCATCTTGGTTGGCGAAGTCAAATTTAAATAAATCTTCATAACGCCGGAACCACATGTCAAAAGTGACATTTGCATCAGGATCATAATGAAATTCAGCTATGCTATTTGCGATGCCGTCGACCGATGGAGCTGTGGTTGCATTAGATGAGCTGGGCTGTGTGGAAGGGGAAATCTTCATGTCTGTCAACATCTGCATCAGTTTCAGCTGCTGCTCAAGTAGTAATTCAAGTTTGGCAGGATCCATATTTCCAAAAGCACCGTCGCCACTGATAAGTTCGTCACTTAGTATGCTTGAGGCTATTACGAGTTTACCTTAGTCGATAAACGCGAACGAGACTTTTACGAGCTTCCAGGGAGGCTACCTTGAATACCCAAAATCGGAATAGAAGGCTTTGTAAGCGTAGAAAGTATATTCTGCAAACACCCAGCAATCACAGTACAATCAAGCATACGACTCTCGTTTATTTATACAACATAAGAACGTCCTTGAGACAGTTAAGAAAATAGCATACTAAAATACACTGCAGCCAATCACAGCCATTGATTTTGCTGATGGGAATTGAAATCTCAAGGTCATCTGATCAGCCCATGCTGGCGAAACGTGAAAACCAAAATACGGCATTATCAAGCGAATTTTGGGGATCTAACATCCCCAACACACTATGAACGAAGATTCTTTTGAGAGTTCCCGATTCACCTGGTAGTCATAACTCATATATTTTCTTAGTTTCGTTTACCACACTTTTTAAGCAAACAGCAAAGTATTCTAGATGATACAAATGAATTCTTTTTATATGCTTATAAATTCTGTTTAGCTGATCATTAGCCAGGTGTTGGCTTACTATAGGATTTTAAATCAGAAGGTATTAAAACTGAATTCCAGTCCTATCTATCACACTTTACTCACTTGAGTGGTTTCATTAGACTTGATATAAAAGATATCATTCATAGTCCAGTATATGGTAATATATAGACATTTAATTACATAATAATTATTTAATTACCTCTACCTTATTAAGAAGAGTGTATCGATATATTGGATTGTTTATCAATGCATAGTTCATTCAGTCTTGTATCAGATACCATTCATATGAGATATTAATTGTATCTGTATCTTTTCGATGCATAATGTTATGCTTGAGGCTTATTAAAGCAGTATTTAATGTGTAACCCTAGTAAGTGTAATATTTAATGTTGTACTTAATAATTATTCGAATGTTTTTTCGTTAGTTTCCAGTAAAGATGATACATTTCTTCAACTTAAACTAATAAGACGTTTTGATAAACTTAAAATTATCATTTTAGAGTTGTAGAGACTATTGAGTTTCACTGAAATCATCACAGTTATCATGTGTTCACTAGTGTCTGGCTTCATGAGGAAACTGTGGAAGTTCAAGTGGGAAGCCATGACCAGTGGAATCCAACTGTCAGATGTGAGGCAGTTACACGCTGAAGATAGTGGATGAAGTCACGCGATCTCGTGGATTGATCAGAGTTAGACATTGGATGCCCACTCAGTGGTCTAAAGGTTTGATGTCTGTGCGCTAGAACAAAGGTTCAGGGTTCGATTCCTGCAAGTAGCGGGGTTCGTGGATGAGCACAGCCGATGAGCCCCATACTAGGACTTGATTCCCATCCAGTGCTTTCAGTTTTCTAATGGGGGTTTAACATTAATCGATTCATGATTTCAATAAGACATGAAATTATTTTTGATTGGAACGAAATAATTAAGTTTAAAATTTTGTAGATTTTCATATTAATATTTACGAACATTCATTTCGGTTACTTACTAGCCAAATGTTTGATTACAATTTACGAATATATATATATATATATATATATATATATATATATATATATATGTTATTTTTTCAGACATGGTACCAGATGTGCCGGTCTTGCTGGTGCAGTAATTAATAACAGCATTTGTTCTCATGGTGTTGCACCAAACACTAAACTAGGAGGTAATTTCTAAATCAACAGTGATATTCATACCTTTTCATGTTAATTCTTTTAAAAGTTGGATATGTTTCACATTTGATTATACATCATTACTATAATAAAATGTTCACATTCAGTAAATTTTCGGAGTATAAGTAAAATAGACTTATATTCGAAAAATTAAAATATCCTAACGAAAGGAGATGGCAATATTTATTCATTTTAACTGGCAGAGTTTCGTTTCATATTTGCCCGAAATGAGGAAACTACAACCGATAAATTTACATGGTAGTGTAGTAAATGAGAACACAGGTGGGGCAGCCAAATTGGATTTAACGCAAATTACAGTTACTTAGTAAAATCGGAAAACCATATCGTAAATCGTTCATTTGCAAAAGATCAGTTCATCCTATGGAACTGGACTGTTCCTGTTGCCAAACATCAATCTATTGTCCCTATTCATGCGTTTCATACAAATTCCATTGTTTTCTAACTCTTCCTTTCTTGATCTTCTCCCCATATTATGCTACCAGACTTTAAGTTGACACTCACGTTATATACTACTTATAAGTAGTTCGCACCACAGCACCACAGTAGTGGTACACAAATTTACAAATCTGAATGAATTTCTGAGTGTAAACCATTTATTATAATCTTAGTAGTCAAATGATTGATGATTTCCTAATGATCTTCCATTCGATCATTGATGGTGGGATATTAGATACGCATTCACTAAGGAGTCATATACTAGTAGTACTTCCTAGTGTACAACTGTGATCTAAGTCAAATCGGCCAGTTATTCAAACTATAAAAACACATATATTTCAATGATATATTCAAATGAGTTTTGATCTATCATCGTGTACGATAATATAGACTGTGTACTTTTTTTCTAATTCTTCCTAGGCATACGGATGTTAACTACACAAGTTACGGATATATTGGAAGCTAAAGGTTTAGCGTATAACGCAGAATCAATCAATATATACTGTTCATCATGGGGACCATCTGATGATGGTATTACAATGGATCTACCACACAAACATGCAAAAGATGCATTAAGTTATGGCTTAGCTAAGGTGAAATTCTTGATGAACTTCACACTTAATTTATAAACAGAGATTTGTAGTTAGAGTCAAGTGCCAATCAACCATGGTTGTCTCACATGGCATTATTGTTATTATTATTATTATTGTTATTATTATCACTTTGAATTAATATTTATTGAAAACTGTATAAGTGGAAAGAGACTAAATCACACTCTAACTAACCGTTTAAGACCAAATTAAATGATTTTCTGAGTATCGAAAATGAAGAAAAATTTATATTAAAATATTTTTAATCAATAAAATAAATTTTATCTACCACTAATTCTCGGATCTTGTTTTTATCAGTAAGGAATACAACCTTTATTTATGTCAAATAATAATCCTTTCATTAAGATTAAGAGATTTGTGAAGTAGGGTTCAATGTGAGTCTGTATTTCACCTTAAGTTCTTACTCAATGGAGAACTTTTGTACAACTGCAAAGCATTAAACAGCGATTCCGCTCTTGACAGGGACGAATAGTGGTTAGTAGTGATATCGTGAATGCACGTTTCGTCCTATTTCGGAATCGTCAGCTGGATGTACCTTCGCCTGAGACTTGAGTCCAGAAATATTCGCTGCAAATGCTTTCGCGTGATTCACTTAGCTACTGACTTAGATTTGTTTCATCTGATTTTTTATGTTTAACAAACGCATAGCGGCATGTATTATAATCAAAAGCTTACTTTCTGTTACGAAACCACTAATTAGAAAATATACCGTAAAACCATTGCAATGGTTGGAACATTTTCATTTTGATTTATTCTCTAAAGAGATGGAATCTATACATCGTATATATTATGCTAGAAAATAAACATTCAAGAATGAAGATAAGTGACTGCTAAGTATTGTTGAAAATGTTATTATATATATATATATATATATATATATATATATATATATATATATATATATACTTACGTACGATTTAAATGAGTATTTACGGCAGCACTGAGTAGTTCAGTAGAATGTACTAATGTAATAGAGTGTTGACTTAGCTAGTAATCCAAGAATTTCCATTTTTAAAGTAGACAAAACATACCTATTAAGACAAAAATTAAAGAAAGCATTCTTGTGGCTCTCTTTTCGGCAAATTCACTTTCAAAGCTGTACAATCGCAAATATATACTCTTCTTCCATGGTGATAATCAAAATAATAGTGATAATAAGAATTTTGTTGAACATGATAATAGTGAGGTAAACTAGAGAAAGTTATAAAACTTTAATTTGATAGAGGTACTTAAGAACATTCTTATCGCTGAGGGTTTGAATATATATCTTCAAGACTGAGAAAGAAATTATGATCGGATAGGTTCAGCTTGATCAGATAAAATGTTCTGTAATCAAGAGAATCATAGATTCAGAAACAAATCAGTTGGGTAAAAAGTTTATCGAGAGAAAGATATAAAGGAAACAGATGGCTGTAAGAGGTAAAAACTTTAAATCTTATCATTTCGAGAGAAAAAGCGTTTGTTCCTGTTTGTTCTGAACACACTATTCTGGTTTTTCCAGGAGTATGGCAAACGCTTCAGCAATGCTAAGAAGACGAATCTGACTACCTTTGGGAGTTTTCTACTCACCTTATAGATGACTTTGAAAACAGAATCCGTTTTAAATGAATGACCTGTGCTTACAAGGTTTTCGATTATTGAGCGTTTTATTGACCCGTTTCTATCTCTTTTCAATCAAGCAGGATAATGTTCTCGAATTCTTTTGAATAAAATTTACATCGAACAACCTATAACATTTCATACTTTTATGTAATTAGCCTCATTATTATCATGTTTACCAAAAAGAAAAAGAGAAAAGTATACAGCTCTTGTATAGCTCTTTGTTGGACCAGCTGTTGTTAATTTCACATTCAGACACCATATTAAAGGTCGTAACCTCGCTTAGCCTTTTTCAGTTTGAGTAGACGAGTAGTATTAGTAATCCTCAATCTTAACATGTAACCAGGAGTCAAGTAAACGGATTTGTACATGGCAATAAATGAATCAAAATAATTATCAATGAGTATAAACATCATAATATTATTAGTTATAAAATTATTTTTAAAACGTACTGACAACACTGTTGAATTGTGGTAAAATGAAATACTATTTTTATTGTTCACTGGTTTCATTTGTTTTATTTGAAAGGGTCGACATGGTTTAGGTTCAATTTATGTTTTTGCTTCTGGAAATGGTGGCCTATTTGGTGATAGTTGCGGTGCTGATGGATTTGTCAGTTCACCAAATGTGATTGCTGTTTCAGCAGTAGATAATCTTGGTCAAAAAACTGTATATTCAGAACCGTGTGCTGCAATTCGTGTGTCAGTTCCTGTCGGTGGATCACCTGAATTGTCTAATAGAAATATTTTGGTAAATAATAATAATGGTGAAGTTTTTTTTTATTATGTCATTGTTATTGATAATTTATCAATAGAAAATATTTTAAATATACGACTATTATATTTACTAACAATCGAGATCATTCTAATACAAATAGGTTTTATGGTAGAGTCATTAGAACAGTGACTGAGATAGTACAAACAGTTCAGTGTTAGTAATCTATAATGTTATTAAAAAATTGAACTTTCGGACTAGTTTTTATTCTGCTCAATAGAAGTCAAAAATTGATATGTAACAAATCTGTTTACAATAAAAATCGACACTAATTCGGGATATAGAAAATAGGCAAATCAAATCGAACAGCAGCCATAATTGTGGGAAAGTAGAAATTTCGAAAAATGTTGACTAGCTTATCTTCTAAGAAATAACTAAAATGTAATAACAAGAACTAGATATTTTATTTTATTTTACCCCCTTCATACACACAAAAAGCAGTTTAAAGTCTGAAACTGAATCATCTTGATCGAAAATATAACTTGGTAATCACATGTTCATACCTAACTATGCTAAAAATATTTTAATTAGTTTAGTTTTTAATATTTTAACTTGTGTTGATTTGTTTCGGTTATTTATCTATTTATTGCGAAGAAGTGACTTAAATTAAGTCATGAAATGTCAGAAATACAAATTTCTACTCATCGGTATATCACTAAAAGTTTACAGTTATTTTATTATTGAGTTTCATTGAAGTCAGTCAGTCAGTCAGTCAGATGCAACGTAGAACTTTGTACATAAGTACATCAGTTCATGTTGCCATACCACATCAGCACAGAGAAGTAATCGTCAATTCAAATCCAATAGTAGAAGAGGTAGTGAGGGAATTAGAAGTAATCGGAGAGGTTAGGATTAGAAGATACTATTCAAGAAGTTTGATTCAGTGAGAAAAGTTTAGTGAGTCGAAACTAGAGGTGTTGAAGAATCCAGAAGATTAGGATTTGAGAGAACACAGAGAATAAATGCACCGGCGCCATTGCGAACGATTTTGAGCCATGTCATTCAAGGTCTCTAACCATCGATTATTATCATCTCGCGGACCCCAACCAGGTAGTCGACAATTACCGACATGGCTCAGTCCATTTGTCAATGACTTCATGGATTTCTGCCATGTTTTGGTCTGGCCGCTCCTAACTTTCTTCCAACCTACTCCTACGCCACAAAACAAGGCTCGACGAGGCAGTCGATGGTTCGGCATACGCAACACATGTCCCAACTACCTCAACTGATGAACTTTCAGTACTTCATCTATTGATCTGCCATTCTTACCTAGCACCCGATTCCTAATAACAGCGTTGCTCACTCGGTTGTCCCACGATATACGAGCAATGCTTCGAAGACACCTATGATCGAAAACCAGTAACCTACGAATATCTTCTACTCTCACTGGCCATGTTTCACAGCCATAAAGTAAGACGGAGCGAACTACTGCGCAGTACACTCGTCCTTTAGTCAGCAAACGGATATCTCGCCTACGCCATAAGTGACGCAGGTTGGCAAAAGCCAATCGAGCCTTCTGTATCCGTGCTGAGATTTCGTCAGTCACCAGGCCATCGGCACTGATGAGACTCCCCAGATAAGTGAAGCGGTCTACACGTTCGACTACTTCACTCCCTATCACTAGTCCAGATGCCGATGCAACCCAGTCTTGAAGCAACATTTTGCATTTCGAGGGGGAGAACCGCATCCCGAACATGCTTGCATTGTTGCTTGGGGTGGTCAGAAGACTCTGCATTTTGTCAGCGTCTTTACCAAGAAGGACAATGTCATCGGCATATTCTAAGTCAATAAGCGAGCCACCTGGTAGAAGGTCTACTCCTGAAAATTCAGACGAGGATAATGTTATGTCTAGGAGCATGTCTATGATAAAATTGAACAAGAATGGAGAAAGTGGACATCCCTGACGGACACCACTTGATGTAGAGAATTCCGGTGACAGTTCGCCATAAGCCCTCACTCGACCAGTGGTGTTCGAGTAAAGAGCTTGTATAAGGTTAATGTACTTCTTTGGTACACCTTTCAATGACAGACACTGCCACAGAACCTCACGATCCACTGAGTCAAATGCCGCCTTAAGGTCCAGGAAAACAACTATTGTGGGACGCCTAAATGTGTGTCTATGTTCCAGGACCTGTCTGAGTGTGAAGACGTGGTCTATACAACCACGTCCAGGTCGAAAACCAGACTGGTTTTCTCGAGTCTGCTCTTCACGAGCTTTCGTTAAACGTCGAAGTATTATTGAGGCCAGTATTTTAGAAACTATATTAGTTAGACTTATTCCCCTGTGATTGTCACAAGAAGACTTTTGTCCTTTCTTATAAATTGGGACAATCAGTGATTGAGACCAGTCGGATGGGATTACGTCCAGTTCCCAGATTCTACCTAAGATCTCAGTCAACCTAGCTGCTAAAACTGGACCACCATCCTTAAATATCTCAGGGGTCAGTCTATCAGGACCTGCAGCTCGTCCTCGTTTCAGATTTCCTAACGCTTTCTCAACTTCATTAAGACTAGGGGGACTTAGGTCAATTTGCCATTCAGGATGACTGGAGATCGTGGGTAACCGAAGAGTGGCTCGTGGCCAGTTGAACTGATCCCTAAAGTGTTCTGCCCATCGATCCAGTCTCCTGGATTGAGAATGGATAATAATCCCATCCTTTTCCGAGATAGTCTCACTCACATTTGGGTTCTTAATACCAGTTTCTTTAATAAGGCGGAAAAGTTGTCTACTGTTGCCGATCGCCGCTGCCTTTTCCATCACGTTTGCTTCCGCCACCCACCACTGTTCGCGGTCGTTACGTAGACTTTTTATAAGTCTGCGCCTAAGCTGACTACGCTCTTCATCATGCTCAGAGTCAGGTGATTTGCGTTTTCGAGCATCCATCAGCTCGGTGGATGCGACTGAAATCCACGGCTTCATCCTAGCCTCATGGTTTACATTCCTAGCAGATATCACTGCTGTTTCCACAGCCTTTTTGATATCATACCAACCTGCTTCTGGATGGGAATCGCTTGCATGGTTGCTTAACTCTCTTTCTAGTTGCTCCTGAAATATTTTCTTAGTTTGATTATCATTAAGTAAAACCCTAAGAGGCTTTCTTACGGTGTCTTTCCTACGTCCAGTAAGCCTCAAACAGATACGAGCTCGCACTAGAGCATGATCTGAATCCAAACATGTGCCCCAGAACGAGCGACAGTCTTCTATCGAACCCCTCCATCGGTGGCTGATGGCGATGTGATCTAGTTGAGTCCAACGTTGAGACGACTTCGGGGGTCGCCAGGTCAACAGATGCTTTTCCTTATGCCTAAAGTTGGTGTTCGCTAAGAATAGGCGGTTATCTGAGCATAGTTGCAACAGACGGTCGCCATTGTCTGTTCTCACAGTCGCTACACCATAACATCCACCTAGATGTCTTTCCTTTTCACCTAGTCTACCTACTTGAGCATTAAAGTCACCAGCCATCATTACTATATCAGAGCGCCTAGCTTTTTGGAGGAGGTCCGAAAGCTTTCTGTAAAACTCATCTTTAACCTCGTCTGCACTGCAGTCAGTGGGGGCATAGGCAGATATGACGAAGAGGCAACGGCGAGTGTCCCTATCTTTCCGAACCCTTACTGTCCCGTTTAGTCGGACAGCGCACAAGCGACTATCTACTGGGATCCAGTCTAGGAGAGATAATTCTGCCCTAGGACTCAACGCTATGCCTACACCAGCAAGACCTCTGGAAGCAGCATCAGGGCTACCGGATACACGAAGAGTAAATCGAGCTGCTTCTTCGTTTTGACAAGGTGGAATCAGGTTAATGACTTTACTAGGATCCTGTGTGCGCGTTTCCGAGACGCAGCATACATCGATGGCACGAGTTTCTAAAGTCCTAGCTAATGATGCCTGTTGCCCTATTTGACACAATGTCCGTACATTAAAAGCTCCAACTTGTAGTCTAGAGCGAGGTTTAAGGAGACCAGGAACGACGTTTCGTGATCTCGCTTCGTCTGCATTAGCGGTGCAGTGAGAAAAGGGAGTGTGAGTAGAGTTAGTCGTAGAGATAAGAGAGACATTAGGGGGTGTAGCAAGGATTTGATTTTGACCAATTTGGTCTCGCGTGCTGTTATGGGTATGAGGGCGGTTGTCACTTCCCGGCTGCCCACACCGTGGAAGGTTGTTTCTTGATGGACCTGAAAAGGAAGATGGATTAGTGTTGGTGTGTGACCGCAGAGCCCAAGGGACAACTGCTTGAGGCGGGTCACGCACGGCCTTTTTATGAAAGGTATTTAGAGTATTAGCTCCGTTCTTAAAGGCCCTTTGTGGGCACCCTTACCCAGGGAGACGGAAATCCGTGAGTTAGGGGAGGTGTGACATTTTTAGGGCCGACCTTTTCTAACCCTTCCTTCCTTGTGAGAAGGCAGCATCGCTGCAGATGCTGGTTGTCCGAGGGAAACACCTTACTGCTGTCACACCCCTCTGCAGTCAGCAGTACGACTTCGCCCTCAGACCTTGAGTAGCTGCTTTTAGTCTCATCGTTCTCCAATCGACCAGCCTGGCATGGTAGGACCTTCAGGAACATATGTTCCAGCCAGTATAGCTCGGTTGGGTCATCACGATAGGCAAGCCCGACCACCACGTCAAGGTAGCAGCTTCGGTCGGGTGAGTTTCATTGAAATCATGAATCGATTAGTCTATTTATCTATCTTTAAAACTATGACTGCGTAGGCATATAAAACGTTTTAATAACCTTGGTAGATGAATTCTTTTATACATACTCAGCTAACTCATACTTATGAAACAGAATTTCCCTCTCAACACTAGCTTAACTCAACCACTGATGCCATCATACATAAGCAATACTTCTTAGATATTTGTATTCAAATACTTGTAGATCTCTGGCATTCATTACCAGTTGCTGCATCACATATCGTTCAAGTAAAACAAAATAAAATTATATCCATTACACTCAACTGTATGGGTTACATTCCAGTGTCCGTGTTTATTTATCGATATAATTGAGTTATTAACTAACTACATATTCTGAAAATCAGTTCAAATTCAAGTGTACGTTTGTTACTACTATTGTCATCATTACTGTGCATGATGACATAATTAAATTTTATTATATACTGTAGTTAGTTTCAAGCATATCAATTTGGCGAGTATATCAAAATGCAATTTAAAAACTACCGTGATCTCAATTTGACAATCAGTAGTCGACTAAATGCACAAAAATATTACTGTGTGATTTTTCGTCCTTTTTTACAATCACAAATAAATGATAATTCAAAAATCCGATTGTAAATCAACTTCATCATATTCTTAAAATCCGCAGCGAAAATAAACAGATTCATTATTATAGAATAATAGTATTATGAATACTTACATGATGATATGATAATGTTTACTTAAGAATAAAGATGATATTTGAATGAAAATGTTATTTTTACCAATTAACCGAATAAATATATGATGAAGTTAAAGAAAAATATCTACAATAATGTATTGTGGTGGTGTTTTGTTCTCTGAGCTGGATATTTTGGTTGTGGAGCTTTCATTGTTCTTCTGAACAACATCATCAGCACGAACTTCAGAAGTTCGTGCTGATGATGTTGTTCAGAAGAACAATGAAAGCTCCACAACCAAAATATCCAGCTCAGAGAACAAAACACCACCACAATCATCCACCTGAGCTACAAGTTTTCTCCACCATCACAATAATGTATTTTGCACATAGAATCTAGATTTATTAATTATTAATTATTACAGGTTGGAATGTGTTTTCTTTTTGAAAAGTATTGAATCACACAGAAGTCAGTTGAATAGGATTTCACAAAAAAGGAACATTGGAAGTGATCATGACACATTAACTTATGATACAGTACTTACTGAATATACAAGAATGAAGTTTCTGATTGGCAGTTATGTATTTATTTTTTATTCAACCAGTAAAGTACTCTGTAAGACAAAAGGTTATGATAATCTGACTTGAGTTACTAGCTTCATAATAGTACTTAAAGCTCTAAGTGATGTATCTTATGGGTTAACTTCTTTTCTGGAAAATGAATGTTTCATTGACATAGTAACAATAAAGTTCTAACTTTTAGGCTGAATTGTCTAAAAAACTGTTTTCTAACATCCCCGAAAAGTTTTGTTACCGCTAAACTTTGTAATAAAACCACAGAAATTATGACTAAATTTTCGACCAAATTATTTGTTGAACACATAGTACTTGTTTACTTAACATTGTACAATATTACCTATTTTAATATACTTATTACTTTTGGAAAAAACTTGGATAATGTTTATTACAAGTGTAAAATATTATCATATTATTATTTCAGTTACATAAAATTTCACATATTCAAAATAAACAACAAATGTTTTGTCCATTTTCTATCATCATTATTATCATTTTATCATTATTCTGAAAATAATAAATGATGTTATATATATATATATATATATATATATATATATATATATATATATATAAATTTATAGCCTACAACAATGGAAAATAATAAATGTATGAAAAGTTTTATGGGTACATCGGCAGCTGCTCCAATACTTTCTGGATGTCTTGCATTGTCACTAGAAGCAAAGTAAGTTGCAAAGCTAAACAAATCAACCATACCAACAAATAATAAAGCTCAATCAGTTTTATTAATAATTTATTTTGTACAAGATATTATACTTAATATTTGTAGTTCAAAATGAGTGTGACCAGTGTATTCACACTTTCTGCAACGGAGTTGCTTGAATGGTTAGACTCGTACAAAATGTCACATAACACAGTGCCAGCAGGGAGCCGGAGGACTCATCTATATTTCCTATTTAGAGCTCGCGTAAGCTCAGCTAGTTCTAGCAGGTTCATATTAGACAGGTTTGGTTGGGAGCTGAACTGCATAAACTTTGAGGTGATCGGAACCACACTGTAATAACGTAGTATGACGCGCAGTAGATTAATTAAACTTTATTATTTATTTGCAATATCATTCAAACTTAGTTTAGGTTCCTGGCCTAGTCGATACAATAACCGCGTCTTGATATTGATAAATGTTTTAGACAGCAGACTGCAAATTGGGATAAGTGCTTTAAACTGGTCTTCTATACAAAAGATTTCGGCGGGAAACGTTCACATTCGCGGTTGACAATATCAGTGTGCTTGAAGAAATTGGCCTCTTCATTCATAACCGGCTTCAAGCACCGACAACATGTGTTGATTAATGAGGAGTTATCTCCAAACTGATGGCGTAATGATTGAATAATATCTGTAAATGATCGATCACGTAGGTTCTGTGGCAGAATCAAATAGCAATACTCATCTAGCTCATAGGGATCCAATTTCCGAAGTAGCAGATGAACCTAGCAGGAGTCATCTTAAGAGACTAAGTGAAATTTAAATTGATCCTCATAACGCTGAAACCGTATATCAAAAGCAACACTGGAATAAGGACTGCATTCGAATTCGGTAATCCTGCTTGTAGTGCCATTAATTGACGGTGTGATAGTAGAATTAAATGTGCTAGGTTGAGAGAAAGGCGTAATTTTTGTATCTACGAACATCTGGCTAAGTTTTAGCTACTGCTCCAGCAATAATTCCACTCTAACTGGGTCCATAACTGCACCATCCTCGTCGACATTGTTATGCTTGCGCTAATTAAACTAGCACTAGATATTAGCAAACCGAACGTAAACTAGTGACACAACAACAGTATAGCTTATCTATTCTCTACGGCCCGCCCAGCTAACTAGAGCAGGAAGTTCATGGTCAGCAGGAAGAATGTATAATCCAAAGGCAACTCTGAGCAAACGAATCAACATGCATTAAGTTCAAGTGTAATTTATAGAGCACAAAGAGCGCCTTTGAAAGAATTAAAAAATAGAGCTCTAAGAGAGAACACTAACCAATGGCGTGTACGGTCCTTCCGAATGGGAAGCATGCACTAAAGGTAGTAAGGGGCGTTTTTGAAGAAAAAAAAAAGAAATCCAAACTTCCAAAAATAAATTACAAAATTAAAAAGTTTGCCAAGTAATTTATTGGTATCTAGCACCCTCAACACTGTGAATGAAGCTAGATTTACACACTGGTGAATTCCAGCTCCGTAGTTTAGAAGCTAGGCGTTTGTGCATGAAACCGAAGGTCCCATGTTCGAAAGTGAATCGATGGAAAATACCATACTTGGACGGAACGGTCATCTTGTGGTTCCAAATTTTCAGCGGTCACCTAACTTAGATCAGTTAACAATTTAAACAAACCTCATACTTCATTGAATATGACATTCTTGATACCAACTAAATTTGCATATAATATTATTGACCAGTCAATGTGCTACACGTTATATATATGTATATATATATATATATATATATGTATATATATATATATGTATATATATATGTATATATGTATATATATATATATATATATTATAAACACAAATGTACAACTTAAGAAAATTATTTTGTCGAAAAGAATTTGATTTTTACTCAATGACACAACATAAAAGATGCATAAATTGTTTAAATATCTCATATGATATTAATTAATCATAAACACCAAAGAATCTAGTAGATATATCTATATTAGTTTAATTCGTCCGACCATATAAGCATAGCTAGATGAAATTATCAAGAAAAATGCTAGAATCATAGAAGTAGTAACTGTGTCAATGATAGTATATGAAATTTGAAGGAGGGAACAAATTTATGAAATAAAAAAATACATAAAATGATTGCAAAACTGTAAATCTAACGGAATTATAAAATTAAGTGTACATGTGACATTGTTGCCAATTGTAAAACATATCATCATTATCAGATAGTCTGTTAATTATTGTATCACTCAGTTCAACTGTATGAAAAGTTATCAACCAAATCACTTAATGTATATATTCAGTTTACTTTTAAATTTATATAAATATCATATATGAGATATCATTATATTTTAAATGGTCTAACAATGATTGAATCATGGTTTTAATGCAAAACAACAATCTCTATAACTTTATAATGAGAATATCTTGTTTATTTTCTTTATTTGATAAAATATTCTATTATTTGTATTCTTTACTAGTCCTAAATTAACATGGCGTGATATATCACATTTATTACCATGGAGTTCACGTATTCCTAATCCAATCGATAAAGGTTGGTTAGTTAATGGTGCTGGACTATTACATCATCCATTTATTGGATTTGGAACAATCGATTGTTATCGTTTAGTGAAATTAGCTCAACAATGGAATTTAATTGGACCATTATGTGTTTTTAATCATAGTAAGGAATTATATAATGAACCGAAAAATTGGGCTAATTTGCAAGGTACTAAAAAAACAGACAGTGTTCAACATTTATTCAAATGTGATGATGAATGTTCAGCAAAAATTATTCATCAATATGAATCAGAATATACACAAAGCTGGTAATTGTTTGTTTTGTTTTGTTTTAATTGTGTTTGATCATTGTGGTGGGATTTCGTTTACTGAGCTGGATATTTTGGTTATGGAACTTTTCATTGTTCCTCTGAAAACAACACCGTTAACACAAACTTCGGGTAGAAAAGTAAGGCATTCGGATATCTTCATGTACGAGTCGTAGCTTGTCATGTTGACCTGATCTTGATTGGTTTTAATTGACCTTTAACCTGTCATTGTCTGCAGCCTCAGTTTGATTGCATCTCCCCGTAATCTGTCTCCAGATCCTATGTTTGTCTATGATTTTCCTGATTGGTTGATGAATTGGATCAATGCCTGTTTGTTTTGCTGATTGCTAATTTGTATCATGCTTCAAATTTTTTGTTGAATTAATGACCTAAGAATATGATGATTATTAATTCTGAAATTATGAATAAAAAACGTATGAATTTTCTACTATAGGGTTGTGCAGATTGTGAAGCTTCAATGAAATCATCAATCAATCATTGTAAGACCGCTACTAGAGACCTGGAATCACTGGACGGCCGTTTTGCCCTCATCAGCAGTGCGCATCCACGACTCCTACCACTCAAAGGAGTCAAAACAAGGGCTGTTGGTCTTACGCGCGAAAGCTTAACCTTTGGACCACTAGGCCGGCGTCCAACGGTACCAATGTCTAACTCTGATCAGTCAAGGTCCAACAATGACTAACTCATGATTTCAGTAATAAACAACAATCTCCATAACTCTGTGATGAAAAAAGATGATAAATTAGCTTTTTAAATAAATTATAATTTTCAAAATTGCAATTTTAAATTATTCATTATTAAAAGTGTAATTTTTTGTATGAGTGAATTAGTTTATTGTGGCATAAATATGTCTAAGTGGAAAACATGTTTTCTTGACTTTTGTTTAAACTGATTAGCTCAAGTAGTTGATTGAACTTTTTGTTGGTTTATATCTACTCTAACGATACCAAACATTTACGGCTTAATAAGTTTCACATATATCATACAAGATACACTCTGATTTGCATTTCAATGTTTTTATTCACTTAAAAGTAAATATCAGGTATTCCTTTTTAAAAAATCCATTTCAGTCTTAGTCAGTTGTTAAGAAGTGACAGTTATCATTCATATCAGTTAGTTCTTCAAGTATTGTTCAACGTTAAATCTGTTCATAATTCTGTTTAATTAAACTAGTTAAATATACAAACCATGACCTAGTTTTGTCATTGATTGCGTCCGATTCCAGAATTCCAAGATTATTTACTACCATCTTAAAAATCCATTTGATTTATGTATTGAATATTATTTAAAAGTTCACAATCAATTGTATAGCCTGTTTTGAAAGTGTTTAACGTTGGAAATTTGGAAAGTAATAAAAATCTAAAGGTCAGCTAAAAAAACTAGTACAGTGTACATTTTATACTTAGACAATTATCATATAAATATGGTATAATTAATCATAAACAAATAAATTCGATAACATTATTACAATTATTTAATTTAGTGTTAACTTCAAGAAACAACCGTGAATATTACAATTGAATTCAAACTAAATATTAAAAAAATACATGGTAGTTACACCTTTTCAGATTTTTTTTACCTCAAGCAATTATTGATCATTTATTTACTTTAATTAGCATTTCGAGATTGATTATTTTAATTCACAAGTGATAATCGGACAATAAAGAATTACCTACATGTGGTACTACAGAAATAATTTGTCAACTTAAATAATTTATCTGAAAGTACGACACTAACCAAACCGTTAACATTATTTCATTCCAACTTTTTAATTGGAAAATAAATTTTATACGCAGATAGTTTGTACATATCTTTATATTTTATTTGAGGCTGATGTTTACCATGAAATGATATGATATGAAGAATTAAATGAAAAATTTTTAATTATTAGACAACTGTCGTTTTGTCTCAGTATGGGACCCATCAGCAGTGAGCATCTACGACCTCTTCTCGCGGGAATCTAATCGAGGAGCTGCGATCTCGTTCACAGCGATTATGAGTTCCATACTAGAACAGCAGGCACTATCAGGTTCCTGATGGTAGTCTAGCATTGATCGACTCATGGTTTCAATGTAAAACATCTAACTCTATAACTCTATGATGAAAAATGACAAACAACTGTTTCATCCAAAATTAGGACATCAATGGATCCTGTTATTTCTTTATGAGATCGAAACCGATAGCGTTTAAAACTCTCAATGAGTGTAATGTCCTCAGAAAACTGAGTTAAGTAGCATTCAGTAGCTCATATTAACAACTTGGGTAGGTTTGTAATATATTATAGTCTTGTGCTAATACCAACAGTGAATTATCATACGGTCACCAATTTTTTACTTAACAGTTTACACTTATTCACTGTGACTCAAAATATAGATTTCTTCAATAGTCTTTCATATTTATCATGAACTATCCTTATTAGAATAGCCGAAATAGTGTCTATTTCATTTTGTGATATTGGAATATTAACCAAATTTTATTAAATCTCAATTACTGCTAGTAGTGGAATTTTTTATGATGTGCAATGTCCAAGGTATGAGTGTGTTACGCGCTAATCCACCTACAAAAGGACAACTTAACCGAATAGGTAAAAGTTAAAGAGTAAGTTTAATAGGCGGCTGAATCGTATACATAATTATTCGTTGATATGTATACATTCTTCCATTTTTTCACCAAATCATATGTTTCTAAGACTTATCAACGTACTCATTCATGAGTTACATATATCAAAAAACTCTTCCACTGTTAAGACGAATAATAACTACAACTACAAAATACAGTTTACCTTTTTAGCTTGTTTTATTGATCAACTTAACTGAATTTTATTTTGTTTATTAAAAAAGGCCACTTAAATCTCACTCTGATACAATAATCGATTTCAATTTAACCGATTTATCTGGATTAACTCAATATTCTGTAGCACAGAATATTGAAGAAAATACTCCATGTCAAGTAGATATTGTTGAACAAGTTATTCTTCATATTAAATGGAAACATTCATGTCGTGGAAGTTTAGAAATACATTTAATTAGTCCATCAAATACTAGTGCATTAATATTAGCTCAACGAAAATTAGATACATATAATGGCGAAGGATCAATGATATTTTCGTCAGTTGTACATTGGGGTGAAATAGCTGCTGGTTCATGGAAGTTAAAAGTAAATTTTAATTTTTATCATTTTTATATGTAGTTGGTGGTAATAGTAGCAGTCGTAAATAGATTTAGAATACTGTGATAAAATTTTCACACACTTGTTTAATTTATGCAAACTATTGTAACTTCGCAGAATCGATGCGGATTTCGCAATTTCCTATCTATAAGCCCAACAAACTACTCGAGTAAAAAAGATGAGAATGAATAGGAAGATTTTACTGTATGACTAAGTCGGAAATATATGTATACACTCATTTACACATCTGCCACTTAAGAAACTAAGCTAACAATGATATACATATAATATTTTAGGAATATCAGCAATCTTTTCACCATTCAAGTTCACGTATGATTGAGAGTTGATTGATCTAATGGATTAATGTTATTGACAGCAATAGTGACAAATAACCTGATTACATGGACACATTTTCACTACATCTTCAATACACATACACATATTAAAGCAATTTCTCATAGAACGTTAAACATATTTCTTATTGTTAAGTGGATTAGAATACCCTGAAGTGAAATGTATTTTTTATATGAATATTTAAGATACTGTGTTTTATTAGTTTGAATGAATATAGAAAAATATGAAAGAATCATATCTATTAAATTCATTAACAATAAAACTTAATGTAAATCTTCAAAATGATTTTGCTTTTATTGTTACTACTGTTGTTATAAGTTCACTGAAATAAGTGGTTGAATTGTAAAACTCTCATTATTTTTCTAAATAACATTATTATCGAGTCCACAAGTAAACCTCTGACCCAATGAACTTAACAATACCAAAAACATTCATTTGAACTTTAAATATTCACAGGTTTCCTAGTAGCTTAACAGAGATAGAAATGATTAAAATATCAATCTATTCTTCTTAATAATCATTTAATATCGGATAGTAGTAGAATAATAATGTATAATATAATATCTGATATGACGAGCTACAACTGATATGTAACCACATCATGAGAAGAAGCAACTGTATGAATTCGTCTATTAGTTTTATATAATATATTCTTCGTTATAGATCCTTTACTGTATGAATTGGTAAGTTATTGATTAATAGATGGTTAAATATCGATCATTTTAATTTATGCGAATCTGATTGTAAATCATATAGAAAAGAATCTATTCATATATTATTCTGATTTATTTCCAGAGTTTAACAAATCCATACTAACAATCTCTGTACTTTTACTAAGCATCATTAGATTCAGAGTCCTAGCATCAAGTATGAACAAGATAAGCCTTTCAGTAGACATGATTATATCTGTTAAACAACATTAAACAATCTTAATTCATGTATTTTTATATCGCCTTAAAACTAAAATCTAACAAATTTATGTTATTTCTTTAATACTATTCACTTAGATCCATGATCACGGACAATGTGATTCGAAAAAAACTTCTGATAATAATGATAATAGTATTAATGGTTTTATCACAGGTGTTCAGTTAACAATTCGCGGTACATCTAAAAATGATAATGGATTTATGATAAATAGAAATCTATTAGAACCATTATTGACAACAGTTGGTAAAATAGCTATCTCTACTCATACTGGACATAAATTAGAAGCAGAAGAAATTAAAAAGACATTTATAGAGCAAAGAGATTTATCATTTTCACTTTCTAAATCAATATTTTAGTAAGTGATTTTTTAAAATTACCATTATATTACTAATCGAAGATTTGTGGAGATTGTTGATTGTGCATAGATTACATCACTTATTGATTTTAACTCGGAACCCATTACTAACTACGTAGTATTAGAAAATGGTTTCATCTTAATGTGGAACTTTTAAAAAGTATCATGCAAGCGTAACCGAAAATCGTAAATCCGGTCGCAGGTTGGGTCCCCGATATACACTGCTAAGGAGTAGCAAACTCAGAAAAAACCGCTAACCTATGGTTGCTAGTTTTCAGTGGTTTTCCAACTAAGACCAATAAGTGATGTAATCAACGGTACTTAAATCCTGGTTTTTTACCATGAAACTTTTAGAAAATTCTAGCAGGGCTCACCTTTTTAGTGACCCGCGTTCTAACTCCATTTTCTACGAACGATTAAGTAGGCTATAAAATAAATCTTCCTTTTAGTTTCCGTATTTGATAATTAGGTGAACCCCGTTTGTGCAACGCCGGTAATAAGAAGTTATATTCGTATTTAGTTGAATGAGTCTATTTCAAGTAATCGTTTGCGCAAGCCCACACGAAAATACAAAGCGAGAAAGCAAAGTGAAGCAAAGTAAAGAAGGCTAGTGCGGCCAATACATTGCAGTGAGTCATGGTTAAGTATTAATAGTCAGATAAAAATGCTCAAGACATGGAAGAAGTGAACTAACCATGCACACACATGCGCACTCAAACAAAACCGAGGTTGTAAGCAAATGGCTGACAATGTCGGAAGACATGTGAATAGTGGCTTCGATAGAAAAGCTTAATTACTTTGTCCGAAAGCTAGGACGAGCTTGTGGGCTCAACGTATTTGTACACACACTAAAAGAAATACAAAACGTCAAACTGAACAAATGAAGTCGACCTTCCATCTGTGAACGCAATGTAGATCTTTAAACTGAATGCATTCTTTTGGGTCAGACATTTCTATTTCAATACTTTTGCTTCATTCACAACATTATCATAATTTCGAAGATAATTATTGTTCTTATATATTATCAAGTCAAATACTATTTAAAACTAGAACGCATATAGACTAGCTACTTCATTCTTCACTAAAAGTATCTTAATCGCGTGTATCCGCAATTTCATAGAAGGTCGAAACTATAGTCAGTCAGTCAGTTGCAACGTAGAACTTCCTACAGATGTACATGAGTTCATGTCGCCATACCACAGCACAGAGACGCAAATGTCAATTCACAGACCATAGTGATAAAGATAGTAGAGGTATTATCGGTAATGAAGAAGACTAGGGTTCGAAGATATTATTCAAGAAGTATAATTCAGTGAAATAAGGTTAGAAAGACAAAGGTAGAGGTGCCGAAAAATCCAGAAGATTAGGATTTGAGAGAGCTCAAAGAATGGATGCACTTGCGCCATTGAAAACGATTTTGAGCCATATCGTTCAAGGTCTCTAACCATCGATTACTAACATCTCGCGGACGCCAACCAGGTAGTCTACACCTACCAACATGACTCAGTCCACTTGTCAGTGACTTCATGGATTTCTGCCATGCTTTGGTTTGGCCGCCCCTAACTTTCTTCCAACCTACTCCTACACTACAAAACATAGCTCGTTGAGGCAGTCGGTGGTTAGGCATACATAACACATGTCCCAACCGCCTCAACTGATGAAGTTTCACCACTTCATCTATTGATCTGACATCCTTACCTAGTACCCGTTTCCTAACGACAGCATTGCTTACTCGGCTGTCCCAGGATATACGAGCAATGCTTCTTAAACATCTATGACCAAATACTAGTAACCTATGAACATCTACTCTGACTGGCCATGTTTCACAGCCATATAGGAGAACGGAGCGAACTACAGCGCAGTACACCCGTCCTTTGGTCAGCAAACGGATATCAGGCCTACGCCATAAGTGACGCAGGTTGGCAAAAGCCAATCGAGCCTTCTTTATCCGAGCTGAAATTTCGTCAGTCACCAGGCCATCAGCACTGATGAGACTCCCAAGATAAGTGAAGCGGTTGACACGCTCGACTACTTCACTCCCTATCACTAGTTCAGGTACCGATGCAGCCCAATCTTCAAGCAACATTTTCCATTTCGAGGATGAGAACCGCATCTCGAACATGCTTGCATTGTTGCTTAGGGTAGTCAGAAGACTCTGCATTTTGTCAGCGTCTTCACCGGATAGAACTATGTCATCGGCATATTCTAGATCAGTAAGCCACTTTCCTAGTAGAAGATCAACCCCTGAAAAATATGACGAGCTTAATGTTAACTCTAAGAGGATGTCTACGACAAAGTTAAACAAGAATGGAGAGAGTGAACAACCCTGACGGACACCACATGATGTAGAGAATTCAGATGACAGTTCGCCATATCCTCTCACTCAACCAGTGGTGTTCGAGTAGAGAGCTTGTATAAGGTTAATGTACTTCTTTGGTACACCTTTCAACGACAGATACTGCAACAGTACCTCACCATCCAAAAAAACGGATGCCGCTTTTAGTTCCAGGAACACGACTATTGTCGGACGTCTAAATGTGTGTCTGTGTTACAGGACCTGTCGTAGTGTGAAGATGTGGTCTATACAGCCACGTTCAGGTCGAAAACCAGACTGGTTTTCTCGAGTCTGCTCTTCACGTACTCTAGTTAGACGGCTATGTATAATTGAGGCTAACAATTTAGAAACTATATTAGTTAGACTTATTCCCCTGTGATTGTCACAAGAAGACTTTTGTCCTTTCTTATAAATTGGGACAATCAGTGATTGAGACCAGTCGGATGGGATTACGTCCAGTTCCCAGATTCTACCTAAGATCTCAGTCAACCTAGCTGATAAAGCTGGACCACCATCCTTAAATATCTCAGGGGTCAGTCTATCAGGACCTGCAGCTCGTCCTCGTTTCAGATTTCCTAACGCTTTTTCAGCGTCATTAAGACTAGGGGGACTTAGGTCGATTTGCCATTCAGGATGACTGGAGATCGTGGGTAACCGAAGAGTGGCTCGTGGCCAGTTGAACTGATCCCTAAAGTGTTCTGCCCATCGATCCAGTCTCCTGGATTGAGAATGGATAATAATCCCATCCTTTTCCGAGATAGTCTCACTCACATTCGGGTTCCTAATACCGGTTTCTTTAATAAGGTGGAAAAGTTGTCTAGTGTTGCCTATCGCCGCTGCCTTTTCCATCTCTCTCGCTTTCGCCACCCACCACTGTTCACGGTCGTTACGTTGGCTTTTTATAAGTCGAAACTATAACCAATAAAAGTTTCATGGAAAGTATAAGCAAATGATTATTTTATTTATTTCATTTACATAAAATAGTGGATAAGTTCAACTTTAATTGATTGGTGATATATTAGAATTTTTAATGATTATCATTTGTGAAATGTTGTCAGATTCTTGACTTCATAATTTAGAAAAAAGAAATAAATCATTTTACTTTTGAAAATGAGCAAATCAATGTTCGAAATGGAAATCATAATGGAACTTTGAAATTACAATCAGTATATCATTGTATCATAAGTTGAAAAAGTTCGTGAAATATTTCAAAGTTATTGGCTGAATTAAATTTTCTACTTATGTGGAACTATCATGATTTATTTTAGGAAACTTTGACTTCAGTCAGATGAGGTGTAAATTAGAATCTGTAAGTTTAAGGGTGAGAATATTTACAATATCAAAGCATCTTACAGTAGTTGATGTAAAGTGATATATATATATATAATAACACAAGCTACCCTACTTCAATAACTAATCGAAATCAACCAAGTTTTTAATACTTCTTAATTCAGATAATTTAATAGTTTGAAATTCGGATGAGATGTTTGTTTCAATTAAGTTTTATCTTGTTTTTTCTTCTATTTTAATAAAAGGAATTTTTCACAAGACTAATGGAAACTTGTTGGTTGTGAATATTTTTTACTGCACACATAATATACACCTATATTTTCAAACACATCAGTTAATAATGGGATTAATTATGAGAAATAATATATTATCTAATGTGAATTTTCTTAGTTTTACGTACATAACATTATTTCAGTAACAGTGTGTACCAATATTTCTTTGAATACTTTAATCAGAATCATTCAGTCAACTTACAGTAACAGAGGCAAATTAATAATGGTTTACAATATACATATTGGAGGCCCAGTTATTATCATTCTTAATTACTTTTTTCGAAACCCAGAATTGTACTCAGTGTTTTAGAACGAATGTTAAACACGGTGTATATAGATCACTTTGGAATTTTTTTTTTCTCTGTGGAAGTAAACAGATACGGGTAAAATTCAGGTCATCTCAAGATGATGAAATTAATAGCATATTTTCGAAACAGGTTTATTTGCTCATGAACGGTAAGAACGTTACATAGGAGATTTCATAGCAATTTTAATAAAAATGCAATAGAATGAGCAATTAGCTTGTTTTTGTAAATAAACGGGAGGACGATGGGAGGAAAAGTCTGTATGATTAGAGAAGATATATGGAACAGTAGGCAAAGAATTTGACCGATTACCTAGCTCTTTATGATTCATCACAAATCGCCAGTATCACCGATGGCACTAACAAATTAATCAACACAATAAAATGAACAAGCTCATCAGACTGGTCATCTTTTGTGCATGACATCCTTGCAATCTTTCCTGAAAAGTATGTAAAATGCTTTTTAGTAACATTTATTCTGTCTTCTAAATGGATCACAGAATCAGGTTGGGATGACCTCTAAGTTGGAATATAGGTTGAAATGAAAAAAATGACAAATCTTTAGCTCGCCAGCAATAAACAATATAGATACAACAACCCAATTTATGCAGTGAATACCAAACCACAAAACTATGTTCAGTATCGTCGTACCAACAGACTAGCTCATAATTTACACGTATATGCAATTCTAGCTTACTACTCAGAATCAGATTATAGGAACAGGAATATTTTCTCACGCAAATTTCAGGCGGTCGATTCATAGCCAAATATGTGGCTGAAACAACTTAGAGAGAAAATTC